AACCTTTAGCACTGCTTACCAAACCGATAGGTAGTCGGAGCGTACCATTCATATTTTGGAGGACATGCTTAGAGCTTGTATCCTTGATTTCAAGGGGTCGTGGGAGAAGCATTTACCATTGGTTGAGTTCGCATATAACAATAGTTACCAAGCTAGTATTGGGATGGCACCATTTGAGGCCTTGTATGGCCGACCTTGTAGATCGCCGGTTTGTTAGGCCGAGGTAGGTGACGCACCGTTGTTAGGTCCAAAAATTCTTAGAGAGACAACCGAGAAAGTTGTTCTCATTCGGAAGAGGTTGGCTACGGCCCAAAGTTGACAAAAGAGTTATGCCGATATGAGGAGACGACCTTTATCTTTTGAAGTTTGTGACCATGTGTTTCTAAAAATCTCACCAAGGCGGGGTTTGATGAGATTTGGTAAGAGTGGTAAATTGTCCCCAAGGTTCATTGGACCTTTTGAGATCTTAGAACAAATTGGGGAAGTGGCATACCAGTTAGCTTTACCACCACAGTTTTCGGGGGTTCACAACGTATTTCATGTATCTATGCTTAGGAAGTATGAACCCGACCCTTCACATGTGCTTGATTGGGTTGATTTTTAGGTAGACGAGGATGCCTCTTATGAAGAGTGACCGATTCAAATTTTAGATACCTAGGAGCAAATGCTACGAGGTAAAACTATACCGTTGGTAAAGGTGTTGTGTAGACACCATGGGGTTGAGGAAGCGACGTGGGAACGGGAGGCGGAAGTCTGCTCCAAATATCCAGATTTATTCGAAAATGCTTAAGTTGCTTTTCTTTGTAATATTCCCTGGTGTTAAGGGAAATGTATTTAAAGTTGTTAACCACATGTTGATATATGCGTTGTTGTTTTAAGCATAAGTTTGTTTAGAGTTGCCATTACCTTTTGGGAAATTTCATGTTTATGCGTATTTGGAAGGTTGTTGTCAATGAGATAACCATGGTGAAAATGGTGGAATTTGGTTGAGAGGTAGTATTGTGATTTGAAAATGAAATAACGTGGTTTTGATCGTTAGAAACCCTTTGTTTGGGTAGTTTGATTTGAAATTTCGGGGATGAAATTTTTTAAGGGGGAAGGTTGCAGCGATCCCAGTTTTGCCACTTCGCTTAGTATGTCAGGGATCGAGCTGTCCGGTCAGCTCGCGGGAGTCCAGGGGGTAGCACCCTTTGGCGGGTCCAAGGGTAGCGCCCTGGCGGGGATCGAGCTGCCCGGTCAGCTCGCGGGGGTCCAGGGGGCAGCGCCC